GAATCATACATTACTAGTTTCAATGTCATACATCTTATGCAAATTATCAACCATGGCATAAGAAGTGTCCATGTGCTTATTTAGCTTCTTAAGCTCCTAGAAGTAAGGATTAACCATTTGGCTTATAAGTCATCCTCATAGTGTCTAGCATAACCTTGACACTCCTCTTTTGAAGTAGTTTCATATGAGGTACATGAGGAGGGGATTGCTTTAGCACAAACAATATGTCATTCACCTTTAAGACATTCTCAATGTGACCATACCAAGTAAGAAAATGTTGGCCCCTAAGGCCTTCTTTGTCAAGTATAATGGTAGGTGTTATTTTAGGCATGTCGTTAACTACATAACACAATAAAAATCGTATTAGATTGTTGATTTTAAAACTACTTGATTGGGTCTTAAATCAAATAGTACCACCCACTATTTTTGGAAAATTCCACATCTTTCTAAATGGGATCCAAGAGTTATGTTGAACTCTTAGCAGAGTATGGGAGACTCACCATTACCAAGCCCACCTCAGAAGAATATCATATCGACTAGCAACAATAATGATGAGAGGATAATGCTTTAGCCATTTACAACTTTTGTAGTTACCCATCTAGTTTGGCCTCTAGAGGATAATGCCTCAGAAGAATATCATATTGGCTCCATTGCACTTAGTTAAGTCTTTCCCACCATGCTAGTTCGAGTAGGCATTCAAGAATGGCCTTAGAAGAATATCATATTAACCATACTCGTTGCCTACCTTCACTTCATCATATGTTTATAGGTTGTTCCTGAATGTAAGCACATACTTTGTATACCCCAAAACTAGACGAATATGGTGCATGAGTCACAAATGATTAGAGCCCACCATGGTGGAAGGCCCACGAGGAAATGTTCAAAGCACCTCTCGTTTATCAACTTAATATTTGTTTTGTTGAATGAGTAGTGTTGGGCTACATCAATTCATTTTAATCTTATTACAAGGACTTAGGCCTATCACAACCCTTGGTCCAAGTTTGTATGAATTCCTAGTATGTAATACTCCCACTATTTTGATGAAACAAGTGAGACTATATGGAACTACTAACGAATGCATAACATCCTCATATGGACCATATAGTCATCTTAGGTCTTAGGATGATTATGAACCATTTGATTTGATCCAATATGAGCCTTGTGTTGGACCTTGGGTCTAAGGTAGGTAGTTGTTGATTTTAGTTACGCGTTTAATCTAATTAAACCATTATTTCCTATTGCGTGTTGGACCCAACTATTCCAATTTGCATGCAAACAAATTAAAAGGAATACTTGAAATAAAGAGAAGGGCTTATGCCCTTTTACAACACATTTGAAATTATCAAATTACATTCAAATCTAAACTACTTAAACCATTCATTCATAATGTAAAGCAACCAATCACATAGCTCAATTGTCAAGGCATTTGGTTCATAATCACCCTTTTCTTAATCAATCACATTAACTAAGAGAACAACTTAAACAATTGGTTTTCGGATTGCTAGAATTGATTTAAATGGAGCTAAATGAAATAAAAATGAAGTTCTCATTAAAGAGACAAAACTATTTTGTGCTCTAGCTAATTTGGGCCTAAATGCAATAACCTCAACTATTGGGCTATTGTGCAAAACACAAACTTTTGGGGTCACTTTGTAAACACACAAAAGTCCACAATGTGGATGTGATAGGAGCATATTTATGCGACTTAGTTAGCTTGTTTCTTGGCATTTATGTTGTTAGTTCATAGTTATTTTAGTATTTTAAGCTATTTTCGTGTGTTTGTAGGTCCAAAGGGTTAGTGTGGCAAAGAAGTGCATTTTGGAGCATTTTGGAGCATTTTTGGGCATGAAATGGATAACATATGCTTGGAGCAAAAGGAATGGACGAAATTTGAAGTTTGTGCATCATCCTCTCCCTATAAATAAACATTTTAGTACACTCATTTCACCCAACACATCCACTCATTACAACCACCCAACACATTCACCTACCACTAAATCCACTCATTTCACCCAACACATCCATTCACCTACCACTACATCCACTCATTTCACATAATTCAATGAAGTAGTAACTAGAAATCAAGTTATTTGCATACATGTCATGTGTGGAGAAAAAGCCTCTAGCTATCCCATCCATCATCTTATTTCTCAAATTTGTTTTACAATCTGTCTAGTTTTTCATACTTGTTTGTTTGTTTCAACTTCGTCCAAAACTCAATCCCCCTTTACTTTAGTGTGTCTAATTAGTTAGAATATGTTTTAATTTGTGTTTTTAAGTGTTTTGATTCAAGTAATAGACAATTTTCGTCCAAAGTCATTCCTAGTTACTAGTTTAAGTTTATTTGGTTGTTTTAAGCTGTTTTGAGTATTGTAAGTTTGCTTTGAGTCTTGTGAGTATTGTTAAGTGTTTTTAAGTTTAGTTTTATGTTTTTGAGTCAGTTTTGAGGTTATTAGCAAGCCCTCCTAATCCCCGGTCCAGAACGATCCCTACTTATACT